TACATATATATATATATATATATATATCCATAGATATACAAGTACCCGTAAGTTATTATTAGTATAAAGTGTATCATTTGTACAAATACAGATGCACATGTATATATATATATACACATGCATGTACCCATAAAATACATGTATGTATCCCTGTACTTCACGAAGGTATATATCTCATGCCCACATGCTACCGGCATACAAGTCTGTTATATACAGCACTCAATCTGCCTCCATATCGATCTCTCACCACATTCAATGACCACCGCACCTTTGTATCGCCTTGTGATAATCATTTGTTGCCAGCTAAAATCGAAAGCACCTCTGCATACACCTCACCCGTTAAATGTCATGTTGTAGTTCGAGAGGTCATGGTTCTAGGGTTTTAGTATTTAGGGTTTAGGAAAGCGAGTCACCAGAACCGAACATTTCAGGTGCGCTTCACAAACATTTCTCTCGCTCTTCCCAAGACCTCGTCTGCGGCTGATACCCTGCACACTCCCATCTATAGCGAAACCAATCCCTATCGAAACAACCCCCCACTGTCCTTGGTTATATACTGTCCAATACTACACCTACTTTTCCATAGTCACGCGGCTATATCGAACCGTGTTCAATGGATAGATAAATGTGATACAACATACGCACATGAATTAACGTGTCTCTCCCACTGCTTGTTGCCACCTTTCTAACAGCCAGAGGCTCCACTCTTAGTGCGCTGTGGCTGTTTCTGATGCATTATGGGCTCGTCTGGTTTGTAGACCCAGCTATCTATGGCGAGATCCCGTCCTCGCACCGTAAGTACCTGTGCGTTTGGTATATATATATATATCCATCAGAGATGTTTAATGCCGGATTGTTGATTGTTGCATGTAAACGCAGCCTACAACATTGTGGTTCTTGCGCGGGTGTGTGCGATATTAAACACTATTATGTCGCGGTACAAATCAATGCCCACATAAAAGTATAATTGCACACTACCACTCATCTATCCTGCATTAATATAAAATATGGCTGAATGTTACAATCAGCACTAGCACACAATATACCAATCATATTATAATACAGCTTTAATGACCAATGTTACAGTTAACACGTATCTCAATCGTATACTAATCATATTATAATACAGTTTAGGTGACCAATGTTACAACTAACACACATCTCAATCGTATACTAACCATATTATAATACAGCTTAGGTAACCAATCTTACAACTAACACACATCTCAATCGTATACTAATCATATTATAATACAGCTTAGGTAACCAATGTTACAACTAACACACATCATAATCGTATACTAATCAAATTATAATACAGCTTAGGTGACCAATATTACAGTTAACACACATCTCAATCGTATACTAATCATATAATAATACAGCTTAGGTGACCAATGTTACAACTAAAACACATCATAATCGTATACGAATCAATTATAATACAGCTTAGGTGACCAATGTTACAGTTAACACGTATCT